ATAGATAGATAGATAGATTGATAGATAGATAGATAGATTGATAGATAGATAGATAGATTGATAGATAGATAGATAGATTGATAGATAGATAGATAGATTGATAGATAGATAGATAGATTGATAGATAGATAGATAGATAAATAAATAGCCGGAAATGTTGCTGATCCTTTCCTTGGTAAACCTGTTTTCTGTACTTGACTTCCAACTAATTAACGCGATTTTAAAGAAATTTGTCGTATTTTTAACATACTTTTTTTACTCCGATATTCCTAGGTGGTAACATTCGAAAGGGAAGGAGTAAGTATTCGTGCTACCGTTTCACGACTTTGGAAAGCTTGTTTAACATTTTGCAATATTCGTAATAATCCGCTTTGCAATGCGCCCCCATGATTGCGTAATTTTCCATCATTCTGTTTGTAAACAAAATAGCAGACGATGCTCGATCGTGACGCCAGCGCCATCTCTTATTATATCCCTTCGCCATTAATGCTAAATTCACGTTCTTACACAGCGGGTTGCCGTGAGGTGCCAGTTAGTGCATATCAGACGAAAATGACGACTTTCCAGCTCATGGTTTTCGCCCTAGCAAGGGTGCGCACGACGCCGATCACGTGACCGCTCAAAGATATAAATAGCGGCGCCACACTCCATTCTACCTCTTTTCCACTCCGCGTTCAAAGAGAACGACACGATGCCCGAGTCCGCCTCGTACACAAATGGCTACCCCAATGGGACGGGTACAAAGGAGTGTGAAGACAGAGAGACATTTCTTTTTACGAGTGAGAGCGTAGGAGAGGGACATCCAGGTAGGCTTTGGACACCCGAGTTGCTTGAATAGATGTGTGTGGCATTTGTGTCGAGAATTGTGATCTGCTTAACATGGTATTGGGGCAGTGCCAAGGGAATTGGAAGTGATATGTTCGATTTTTTTACCATTTTCCATTAAAAATAGACACTCCAGAGAGACTCACGGAAAAGATAAACAAACTTACCGATTGGTGATAAAGTGACACTTTTATCGATTGTGATAAACCTACGTCAGACAGCGGAGTCGTCTAGACCGAAATAAATTTTGAAGTAGCACGTGCGTTCACCTCGGGAAGCTATATATATATATAGTAAGAGGAAAATAAGACATTTAAAATAGAACGAGGAGGAAATAAATGATAAATAGGACTTGTATAGTTTCGGGTGTTGATAACTGATCGATTGAGTTGGGTGAGACTCGGGTTTATTGACTTGAGTTCAGTGTACAAGCGTGTATAAATTGTACAGTGAAGATGCCGCCGAGTTTTATTTCGTTATCGGGTCTTAATCAATGAAAGGGAATGGGATATTAGCTTTTAACTTGATATCAATCTTTTTCTCGCGTTGAGGACTTGTAATATTTTTAAAAGATAGATAGGCCTATATGAAAGGTAGGCCTATATGACAAATTGGCAACTGAACAGGTAAACATGCTGGGATTCTGAACTTGGAATGCCAACAACCTTGTGTGTGACCTTGCTACTGCCTTGGGGTGTTGTGATTAGATGTCACTTGGCTCTTGATAAGATTAATGGGGAATAACGTGATGTAATGTAGGCCTTTGTGATTTTTGTTTGTTTTTGTGTGATAGCAAGAGATGGTGAATATTTATTTTAATGCTATAATGGTTTTAGCTTTTGATTAATTGATTTATGAGCAGTTATATAGAGGGGTATTTATTTATTTATTTTTGTATAATTTCATTTGCATTTTAGAGAAGCTAATTAATAATTTCTCCCGCTTTCATCTTTAGACAAAATCTGCGATCAGGTTAGCGATGCAGTTCTCGATGCTCATCTTGCACAGGATCCCGATGCAAAGGTAAGTTGATTTTTGATTTTTATGCTTCGTTAAAATTTTATTTTGCATTCTGGTTGATAATTTCTAGTCCAGCTTTAAATTTTTTGGGTACAGTAACCAGATTGTGATTTCAGGTTGCATGCGAGACCTGTACCAAAACCGGGATGATCCTTGTGTGTGGAGAGATTACATCAAAGGCCGTAGTTGATTATCAGAAGATTGTTCGTGACACCATCAAGAAGATTGGATACGATGATTCGTGCAAGGGTAAGTAAAGTATTCCCTTTGGTGACTCGTTGAAATACATCCAGAGTAGAACTTTGCTAGTAAAACCCTCTTGAATTTATTCTAAGGAAATTTCTTTTCATGCTTGCATTGCACGTAGCTTTTTATTTTATTTTTTTTTTTACTTTCTGTAAATTTCCCGTGTAGTGTTCTTTTGTAGTCTTCACTTCCCTCCCTCTTAATTGGCATTTTGTTAATAGAAAATTAGTAAAAGCCAAATTTATCTACTTTGGTATCTGATGCTTTGGCACTCAGTACAAAATTATTCCATGCACACTCAGGCTTCGACTTCACAACGTGTAATCTTCTTGTTGCAATTGAGCAACAGTCGCCAAATATTGCTGGTGGCGTTCATGTAGACAGAGCTGAGGAAGATGTTGGTGCTGGTGATCAGGTATTGCAGAAAAAATTTCACTCGGAATGCACCGGCTTTTTGGGGGTGGTTTCAGCGGTGCTCCTTCCGACTTTAGTTGAAATGGCATTTCTCGGAATAAATGAACCAAATTGGGTTTTTGGCTGGTAGCAGTTGATGTGAAATCAACGTGCCAAAGGCATAAAAAAACGAAAACAATTTGGATCCCTTTATCCCTATGCATGTTTAGTTGGTATGGTTCTTTAGTAGTACTTGGTAAGGTGTAATAATTGTTGGTGCATGTCGTATTAAATGTTTATGGTTTTGAATTTTCAGGGTACCACAGAACAGTTTGTATAAAGTGGCCAAAGTCTTGTTCAGTATGAATTTAATTTGGAGCCATAGAATTTATTTTTTAAAAATTTATTAAACGGTTGACCTTTCACTTGGTTTATACAATAATTAAGAATATCTTGATCACTAATGAAGTATTTTAAATTGATATTGTCAAATACTGAACATGATAGGGCTACCACATGTTTTACAACAATTTTTGGGACATTCTAATGACTTCTTAGCAAGACCACTTACGCTTGTAAGAATGCTGTTTAATATATATGCAAACGCTAATTTAAGTTAATAAAATATTCCATTATGCATTATTATAAGAAGTGGCCTAAATTAGCTGTTTTGCTATTGTTGTAATAGTTATATGAAAATTGTATATTCATCTCTTCCCATTTGTGATGTCATGAAATGTTTTCGAAGAATATCGTAAGGAATATTTTAGTTTGATTTAAATATTGTCGGTAAGAATGCCTCGGAAGTAAATAGAACATGACGTAATTCAGAATGAACTGGGGAGTTTAAATAATTATAGCAGAAGTTATTGTACAATGTTGATTAAAAGTAAACTACAAAGAAACCCTTGAAGATTGAAGATGTAGAATGTTCCTTTTTTGTAGTATTTGACACTTTGGATTTTACCATTTTAATCTAATTTCTCACATCCTTGGGTCTTTGCCTCGCAGGCTTTGACTACAAGACATGCAATGTGCTCTTGGCCCTGGAGCAACAGTGTGTGGAAATTGCTAATGGGGTGCACGTTGGGCGCAGCGACGACGATATAGGGGCGGGAGATCAGGTGAAGAGTCCATATTGAGTTTGTAAGTTATAAGACTGAGCTTGGGGGATGCATTTTTGATGCTAGTCCTTTAAACTAGTTAGTATAATAATAGTAATAAACATGCATATAATTTTCTTTATTGCATGAGCTGTGTTGTCACTTTTTTTTTTTTTTTCCTTGCATGAGGACTTGAATTTCCGTACTAGCTCCCCCTAAGTATCACGTCCTATAACTTATGAATTTGCTTGTGTTATTGATCTTTTTATTTTTGGTTTGGCACTAAGTGGAGTTCCCCCCCACCCCTCACAGTTTGTAACCCAATAACTAAAGAACCAATTGTAAAGGAACTCGTAGAACAGGTAATGAAGCCTATTTAGTATTGTCTTGGGTAAGTCTTGAACTTTGGACCAAAACCTTTGTAGCCCTCATTTATTCCAGTGTAAGCTAGCTTTATTTTTATTTATTTTTTTATTATTATTCTCTCCCTCCCCCTCCTATTGGGGACTAAATTGGGCATAAATTTGAAAGACTATGTAAATTAGGAATGTGCATTATTTCTATCCAAGATCCCCCCCACCCCCTCCCCCAATTAAAAATTGGAAAATCTGTAAATCTATGACAAGTTTAATCGCATTACTTACGGTTTTGCCGTGTTGGTTATTTCCTCTAATCCTTTACTGTACATTATAGCCCACCAAGTTCCTCTACTTGGGCAGTAATGGGAAATCATGGTTAGTGCGTACAGTAAAATGTAAAACCCAAGGAGTGTCTACAGGTAACTAATGGTAATTAAAAACGGTTTGAATTGAACATGGCTTAGATTAATGACTTTTTGCTTTTGCTTTCACTGACAAATTCTACTGGATAAATTGACTGAAAACTTGCACTTTTAGCATAAAACGGTTGATGTTTGGGAATTTGCTTACCTGATGAAACACGAATTTGTGCAGTTATAAAAAAGAGAAGTACAATAGATTTTGGGAATTAAGTCTAATCCCCCTTTTTATATATTCTTGCTCGCTCTCCCCCCTCCCCCTTCTACTCTCCCCACATGGTCCTTTTTCGTGATTAATCCATTGACACTGTCACCAAAAAGTGCCTTAATTTTTATACAAGTTTTGAAATGACCTTGTTGCCTTTTGTCTTTGCACGAGTGCTATATAAATCATTTGAAAAGTAAATGGTGGCTAATTTTGTCATTCCTGTAGCTTTAAAACTGCACAAAGTGTTGTAGTTGTAAATCTTGTATTGCAGTTGATGTATGAACTTGCAGAATTTTTTATTTAATCAAAATGATTAGAACATATTTATAGATTATGTTCGGGCTGCATATAATGAAGAAATAAGTAATTTCAAATGAAAATAAACCCTTAATGTAGAATGACCTTAAAATCAAGACCTGTTTAGATTTTGGAGATCAACATTGTTTATTGGCAAAAACGGCTTGGCCTTATATTGGATTCGTGGCAACTGTTTTTAAGAATTACCTGGTGACTTTTCATTGCAAAAAATATTAGATTTGTATCTAAACTTCACTAACTTCCGTTGATCTAATGGAAATGAATAGCATTGTATTCATTTTCACAGTAACAGCTTTTTCCTTCCCATCCCCCCCCCCCCCCCCCAAGTTGTAGTCAAGGTATCATGCACAAGACCTTGTAAGATCTTTTATGAGTATTTTAAGTCTTGATGGCACTTCATAGACATCTTTTTTCTTTAAGCCTGTTAATAATGCTTTTGATTAACAGGAAATGGAATGTTGGGTAGATTATTGGATTTCTGTAACCGTTGCTTTTTTAAGTATTTATACAAAGTTTGGTTTATGAGTGTGGAAGTTTTGAGTATTTTAGGTTTCATTTGTCCATATTTATTTGTTATTTGTTTGGAGTAGTTTTGTCCCAGACTGTAAAGATCATATTATAAGAATCAGATGTAGTAGAGCTATCATTTGACATTGATTCATTTGCTGTTCCTCCTCCCACCCCTTTCCTTTTCACCCAAGTAAGTTAATACAATTTTTTCATCTAGGGTCTTATGTTTGGATATGCTACGGATGAAACTGAAGAATGCATGCCATTGACTGTTGTCTTGGCTCACCGTCTCAATCAGAAGATTGCAGAATTGCGCAGAGATGGCACTTTCTGGTGGGCCCGCCCAGATACAAAGACACAGATTACAGCAGAGTACTACTTTGAGTAAGTTGTGGTTAAATTATTTCATAGGGTTCATTTTGTATAATTATCGTGAAATTGTGTGGTACTAGGTGAATTTTAATAATGCCTGCAACTTGCCATGAAAGCATATTAAAATGAAACCTTGCATTACAGCCAGGGTGCTGCCATTCCCCTGCGTGTGCACACAGTGGTTGTCTCTGCCCAACACTCTGAGAAGGTAACCTTGGACCAGCTGAGAGCTGACATTATGGAGAAGGCTATCAAGTCTGTCATCCAGAACAGTACCTTGATGAAAACACCAAATACCACATCAACCCTTGTGGAGACTTCATCATTGGAGGACCTCAGGGTGATGCAGGTCTCACAGGCAGGAAGATCATTGTTGACACGTATGGTGGTTGGGGAGCTCATGGAGGCGGTGCTTTCTCTGGCAAGGACTACACGAAGGTGGATCGCTCTGCTGCCTACGCTGCTCGATGGGTTGCAAAGTCTCTGGTGAAGGGGGACTCTGCAAGAGGTGTCTTGTTCAAGTGAGTATGGTTTTGGCTTTTTAGTTTTCGTTAGTTGTATAAATATTTACAAAGGTGGTAGTATGAAGCTCAAATCAGAAATTTTAATGAATCCATAGCATTTGTTAATTTTGTGTAAAAAAAAAAAAAAAAAAAAAAATTGGTCCACTATACCTGGAAAAAGCTTTAATTTACTTCATTTCTTTGCAGGTATCCTATGCAATTGGAGTAGCTGAGCCAATCAGCATCAGCATCTTCCATTACGGCACATCACAGTACACGTCAAAACAGCTGCTAGAAATTGTCAACCAGAACTTCGACTTGAGGCCAGGCCGTATTGTAAAGGAATTGGGCTTGAAGCGCCCAATCTATAGGGACACTTCTTGTTATGGACACTTTGGCAGAGACCAGTTCCCATGGGAGAAACCCAAAGCAATGACCCTTCCAAAGCTTTAAGTAAATCTTGTCTCCTCCCAAAGAAAAAGATAGGGATGTAAGTGGCTTCCTCATAATATGAGAAAATAACTGCTTAAATCTGAGGAGCCACACTTATAGAAATTTAGTTGACCAGTTAGTGTAGTGCAAAATATTTAATCTTTTTAAATTGCATTTGTTGGAGTTTGTGATAGCACATCCTTGTGTCAGGCAGGCACTCGGGCACTGTGTATGTGCGACCTGGTGATCGTAGGTGCTAGGCCAGGGGGTGCCTGGTGTCACCCCCGGTCTGGCCTGCCCCTAACCTCGAGGACCCCTGCAAGATGACCACAGTTTCAAGTTGGTACAGATGATGGATCTGTTTTGCTATGTAAACATCCTTTGTTTGTGCCAGACTTGACACTGCAAATGTGTAGGATTAGCAAGATTTTCCTCTAGAGTTTTTTATACAAGATCTACGCATTTGTGTTGTGTTTACGAAAATTCTAATGGAAAAGAGCATTTCCTTAAACACTCCGGCCACCTTTCTGGGATGGGGCATCACTTGCTGACACATTCCTCGAGACTTGAGAGTTAGGGTCTTTTTAGGTTTTATCCTTTTATTTAGATTTAGTAGCTTATTGAAGATGTATGTCTACATTGTATTTGTTATGATTAAGCCGATTCTATACACGCAGAATGTATACTATTCGGCTGATTAAAAGTTATTCGTGTAATCTTATCATTTTATTATCTTTTGAGTATGTAATGATAAAAGTTTTAATGTAATTTTATTTTATCAATTGCTTGGTTGAATTGGGACAGTGCAAATCCTTATTATTTAAAATAATATTGTGCAATATGATTACTGAATATGTGACTTTCTTAGTTTCAAGCCTCATGATTTGAAGATTTGAAAATCATGAATCTTTAACTTTTATCATTTTCTTCCAAGCTTGGAAATAAAATTCTTTATTCCTGCTTTACTGAAACCATAGTAAGTTGCAGAATTGATTAACTTCTTTGGTAAGACTTCATCAAGGCAACATATCCCAAACATATGTTAAAAACATTATTTTGCTCTTTTTTAATTCATATTAGTGCTGAAACTAATTGTATTTGTTAATAGGTTGTCAGTTCTTTACATTTTGAGCTGCATAACCTTCAACACCTGTAGAGGTTGTAGAATTATACAAAGTTTGAATCTTGTATATTGGAAAAATGCAAGTGAACAATTTGATTGTTCTTGGATAGAATATTGAAAAGTTTAAGTATTGAAGTTTCAACACTTAAAGAACCGGATATGGTATGCAATGTGGGGCTTCATTCAAAGATGTTTGTCTCAATCTAGTAGAGACTAGAGTTTTGGTACAAATGTCCATGAGAAGGGATTATTAAATTTATTCAAATGCTTACTTAACTTGCATAAAAGAAATGCAGTCTCGGAAAACTAGAATAAACGTTAATTAAATAACCAGAGTTTCTTTTTGCCAGGGAAGCGATGCAAAGTAGTAGATTTTTCATCTGAAGAAGAAAAAAATGTATAACCTTAATATCATAAAATATTGTTTCAGCAACGTTGAGATTACATGGTAGAAGGTAGATCAAGACTAACAGCAGTGTCATGCGGTTTTCTACAACTGCATGTAATGGGTTATACTCCCCCTCCCCTCCCCATCCTATGCCCTTTGTTGTCGTGGGGGGGAACTTAGGAAAGGACAGGGGCCCAATGTAGGGATCACTCCTTGCCTAGAACCTCTTCTCCCTCTTTCCTAATCCATCTCTTCACCCCCTTCCTCTGTCCACATTCTAGGGATCACTCCTGCCTAGAACCTCTTCTCCCTCTTTCCTAATCCATCTCTTCACCCCCTTCCTCTGTCCACATTCTAAACTATTGTCATGTGTAAACTATTTGATGTTTTATTGCACTTCCAATCCGTTTACATTTTACCTGAAAACATGATTACCTGTAACGGATGGAAAATTTAAGCAAAACCTACCAATTACATCTACATTAACTTTTAATGTCTATTTTAAACCTTAGTAAAAATATTAATTCTCATATGATCTTTCTCCAGTAACATCGCATAATAATGACTCGACATGGCATGTTATATATATTTATATCATATCAAAGAAATTAAGTACTGGAAGTATTATACAGTAGTAATGCGGATGGCCTAACAGCACGGTAATAGAATTTTAAAAGTTAGAGGACGAGTTAAGAAATTATTTATACAAATCTTCACTATATAAGTTTTTTTTCAAGTCTCCGAAATGTTACCAGTACAAGAGCAACTTTCATAATGTTCAGTTGGTGAGGCCTGTTCATACGAATGCAGTTTGAACTATAAAATGTGAGAATGTATACGAATGGTAAATTTCAGACGAACATTTTATATAAATTCACATTATATATTAATATTTTACAAAATGCGGCAATGCACTACTTGGCATGCAAGCTCGGGATACTTGTAATCTGATGTTTTAAAGTACAATTGTTTACGAAAAAAACCGTGGATTTTGTTGTCACGAACGAACTGCAATTTTGTAGCCAATTCAGTTATTCCATTATTTTCTTTATTTCTCTTTCTTGTCTTTTTTTCCTTCTTTCGTTTTATCTTTACTGATGCTGGTAGGAAAAGTATAATGTAGAAATTAAAGAATATACAAGAAGTCGTTCCATTTAAACTGATTATATTACATACTTAATGTTTGAACAGAAGGTCAAGGTAAAATTGTACAATGTTATATAGTATGGGATAGAGAGCAAGATGTGTTGGTATGTAAGAAATAATGTTTTCCTTCATTAACTCAAGGTTGTTCAGTGTTTCAGTATTTATCATTACTTCTTTGCATATTGCATTTTTAGACTATACTTGCCTAATTACAGAAATAGGACGTGGTAGAATTATAACAAAGGTTGGTTACATTAAAATTATGAGCAATATCCATTATTTTGCAAATTGAACATGGTTAACAACAGACATCCCACAGCATAAGCGAAGTCCAGAGACTGAGAATCTTTTAATTTTGCTTTCTGCAATTGCGCAGTAACCTCTGTAAAGTTGCAGGCGACAGTACCCAACAAGAACCACATTTTCTTGACTTGTTCTAGCAACGCCAGTGACGGGTTAACTATACAAAGAAGGCGCAACTTGCGAGTGTAAAAACTAGTTCCGTTCGCACTCCAGAAACAGCATGAATAGTTACTAGGAATTTGTATCTTGATATGTTTCATCTTCATCTCCTGCAGAAATATCCTTTGTCGCAAAATATGAGGAGTTCTCTCTCTTGGATACGTGAAATTTGACGTAATGTCGCCCACGTTAATTCGATGAAGATTTAGCGTGTTCAATTTTGGGAGTCGGGTTTTATCATCAGGAAGGCTGACTCGCCCACCGGTTGCAGCCGATGGATTCAGGCTTTCAGGTGTTCAATAATACCTTTTCTATTTATTGTATCTTTATATATAAACATTGCATATTGCACAATTTGAATTTATGAAACTTGACTTTGATGTCACGCGCGCGTATAACACAAGCACGCACACGTGCTCATACATGCACACACACTAGAATATAACAAAGACCTTGCACACACTAACACGCAGTCGCTCTCATATGCACGACACACACGAACATACACACACGTTTGTTTGCGTGTATGCATGTAGATTATCATACACTGTATATTTACAAATTTAGCCACCAGAATACATACGAAACAGCCTGGCAGAAGGTCGTAACTGAACCAGAACGAGGGTCAAACTTGGGACAGGATATTTCATTACCGCAAATGGTGCTGGACAGCTGGGTATTTCACAGCGGACAGCAGATGCGGGCGCCTGACCTGCATGATAATGAATGCTGCTACTCCGATGCCATCTCCCTCGGCATTCTTCTCTTCCATAAGCATAGATTCATACGTCACAGCCAAACAAAGAAGTTCATTCCTGGGGTAAAAGACTACATTACCTGTATACAAAATGTGCGTTTATATACATGGCTAAAACATCCATTTAAGTATAAAGTATTTGCACACACTGATACAAAGATGTAGAATATACATTAAGCCAATCCATGCATAAATAGAACACAGAATGAACATACATTTATTCCACACATGCAAAAAGTGGGGCACACCTATCCAAAGGCACAAAAGTTGAGATAAAACCTTTTTATATGCCATTTATTGACTCGCTTTCTTTTGTTTCCTATCACTCAGACTGCAGAATTAAATTTTATGTTTATATATATTCTACTCGACTGAAACCATCATCGTGTTTCTTGCTTGTTTCATCATTATGATACCTTCCATTTAAATAAAAAACATTCAGTTTATACCAAGTATCCCTTAGCTATTCAACATCAGAATAATCCATAAATAAATGAAACATAGAAATTGACTATAGAATAAATCAACCAGTAGCTTATTTTTGACAAAACAGCTGATGTGTATCTCGCGTCTTTTGTCGATAGTATCAACAAGTCTTCATTTATCACTCGGAAAAAAGGAAAGTGTCAAGTATTTCCACTTTTTACTTTCACTTAACTCTACTGTCTGCTGATTAGATAATACTGATAACGCCGGAGAATAAGATCTATTGTCTCAGTTGTTTTAAATCGAGGATGTATATTAATAAAAAAATATATGAATAGAAAAACACACGCGCACACACATAAACGATACATATGCATATATATATATATATATATATATATATATATATATATATATATATATATATATATATATATAACACATACACCTATATATATCTATATCATATATATATCTATATATATATAATATATATATATATATATATA